TGTGGTCCCAGCTACTTGGGAGGCTGAGGCAGGAGACTCGCTTAAGCCCAGGAGTTGGAGGTTGCTGTGAGCTGTGAAGCCACAGCACTCTACTCAGGGGGATAGCTTGAGGCTCTGTCTCAAAAAGAAAAAAATAAATAAAGAACAAATTTCCCAGTACCCATTTTTGGTTAAAGAATATATTCATATCCAAATGCCTTGATGTCTTCCTAAGAGAAGTTATTAATATTCAGATTAACAACCACTAGCAGTTATCTTCTGTGTAGGGCAGCATACTTACTGTTAAGGGGCTGATGTTCCTAAGAACTATAACTAGATTAAGTGTTCAGTTCGTTAAACACTTAATTACTAGGTTCCAGGCATTGGGGTACAAAGATGAACAAGGCACACACCATTCTTTAGGGAACTCATATTCTAGTGAGGAAGACAGATCATTTCAGGAGAATGCAGTAGGTGCAGAAATGGTTAAGGACAGGGGGCTGTGGAAGCAGAGAGGGACATATGAGCCAGCCAGAGGAAATTTCCTAGATGAGTAGGAGCTGGTAGCTAAAGAAAGGATGGGTAGAAGACACAGAATATGTGCAGAAAATTATATAGATAAAGCCAAATTTGAGGTGGGAATATTATCAGATGAACTTGCCTGGGGGAGACAGCTGAGGGTCAGGGTACAGGGACCTTCAGGCCCCATTAAGGAATAATTTATCCTACAAGTAACATGGAGCCATTGACATTTTCAACAGGAGACTATCTTAACTTGTCTTAGCATCTCCAGTGCCTACCTAGTATAGTGCCTGAAACACAATAGAGCAGGTGTCCTCAAACTATAGCCCATGGGCCACATGCAGCCCACCTAGGACATTTATCCAGCCCACCAGGTGTTTTTGCCACCACTGCCTGTCCTGCTTAGCAGCTGACTCATCCTGGGGCCCGCAGTCCAGCCCTCCAATGTTCTGAAGGACAGTGAACTGGCCCCCTGTTTAAAAAGTTTGAGGACCCTTGCAATAGAGGTTCAATAAATGTTTGATTTAACTAAAAAAAACCAAACACTGACCACCAAAACCCTAAAGAAACGTTACTGCCAAAGGAGTTCTATTAAACTGGGTTTGCTGTATACATCCTCTTGAGTGATGTTGCCTTCCAGTTACCTCATCCTCGCCCTTCCTGGATGCTGTTATCTTCTGACTGCCACCCCATTGCCTTTGATTTACTAAGGACTCTGGCATCAGCTTTGGGCTTCCTCTCCATCCTCACTCCTATCATTATTTTGGGTGACCTCATCATCTATGGTGAAGAATCTCATCCAACAACATAATGTCACAGTTCTGGATCTCCCTCCTGAATGCTAATGCTGTCTACTTTAGACCATCTGCCCCAGGAGTACATGCTGGGACTGTACCACTTAGAATTACTTCTGTCTCTAGCTACAACCTCCTGTCCTCATGCCTTATTCCCACAATACTAGCTCTTCACAAAACCTCCTCCCCTTACCATTACAATTGAATCCCCTTCTCCTTCTATGTTCCCCTAGAGTGCCAGACTTCTCCTTCTCTTCTCAGCCTGAACTACATCCCCACTGAGACCCATAATTCCCTTGTGTCACTATCCTTCTATTCTTTTTTTTTTTTTTTTGAGACAGGGTCTCACTCTGTTGCCCCAGCTAGAGTACAGTCATCAGAGCTCACTGCAACCTCAAACACCTGGGCTCAAGTGATCCTTCTGCCTCAGCCTCCCGAGTAAGTGGAACTACAGGTGTGTGCCACCACATTCAGCCAACTTCTTAAATTTTTCTGTAGAGACAAGGTCTATTTTGCTTAGGCTGTTCTCAAATTTGTGGCTTCAAACAAACCTCCCCCTTCTACCTCAGTCTCCCAAAGTGCTGGGATTATAGGGTTATCTTCCTATTGCATTAATTACTGTTCAACAAAACTGTGCAACTGTGGCTCAAGGCTACACCTAGCTTTTTTCAATCCTAGATTGTGCCAGTTACAAGGAACCAGGTAAATCATGATCATGGAGATCAAATTCATGACCTTCAATCTTAGTCAGGCTCCCAGCCCTGAAGGCAACCTTTTTTTTTTTTTTT